CGGTCCCGTCAGATAGTGAACTTGAACTTGCAACCATCATCACCCTTACGCACGCAAGCTCCTAATAAACGCTCATTATCACGAATCAACACACAAACGGCAGTTGCTTCGCATCGAACCCAGTCCTCAACCACCTCAGCGCCTGAGTTACCCCGTGCGAAATGGATGTGGACTCCTCCTCAAGCTGGTCGGTCCTTCCTCGGCTGTTTCCTCTGAAAGCGGGGATAGTTCGCACAGCAGCAAGAAGATGTTCCCCTCAATGGGTCGCTTCCGTAGACCGAAGAGTTCATCTCGGTCTCTTGCCTCGACATCCAAGTCTTTCTACTCATCTCCAAACACTCATCGCCAACTCTTAGCCCGTCCGCCACAACAAAATGTGAAAAGGGGCGTGTGCCTCCAATAGCAGAAGACAAAAGTGACAGTACCGGTGTCATCGTCAACATCCAGAGACACGAAGGTGACTGGGAGGCGGCGGCGCTCCAGGATGTCATTCCTCGCCTGAGGGAAATGAAGAGTTCCGCTCTATCGATTCTTTGAGTCGGAGCAAAATCAAATAATACTCCGTATGATACCTTTGTCAATATGAACACTGTACTAATACTCCCGTGTGTTCCATACCTCCGCATTGATTACTTAGTTTACATGTTTTTACGATCGACGCACACGATATGATGAGGAGACGACCGGGGATTTTGATGTTTAATCTCGACTTGAATTGGGTATATGATCTGAAATAACAAACAAAGTTCTGGCTGTTCTGATTGCAAATTCGGGGCTTTACCACCGTACAGCTTTGTGCAAAAACTTTGCATATGTTGTGCTTTCCAGTAGTTTGAACTGCTATCCGCAAAATCCATCTCCGGTTCTCCTCAAGACGGGGAGAAAAGCGGTCCATCGCAAAGGGCGACAGGCGTTCAGGGAAAACTCTAGATAACGCATTGACAAAGTGTCCGGTGGCGTCACTGGCAAGACGATGAGTCGCCGAAGACTGTGCCGTAACTGATAATCGATAATGATCTGTGTCTAGACCTTGTGGATGTGACAGATTGATTGTACATAGTCAATTGTTATCATCCGCAGAAGGGGCTGTGAACCTCTTGACGTTGGAGTCAGGCATCGCGAAAATGACAGTCGCACACCGGAGTCACTGGGAAACCCCGCCATGAGCCACATCCGCAGCTAAGCTTGTCTGAGTTCAAGTCAGAGTCAAAGGTAATTTGCTGCGCAGACAGACAGTGCGGTTAATGATCTAGAAAAGGGGGAGGCGCATGCATGTGATAATTTGTGATTGGGATCTGCAGAAGCTTGAAAAATTATATGTACCTATATGATTAACATAACTCTGAACCTGAGTGCTGCGGAAGCGAAACTGTCATGTTACACATTACGATGTAACGCAGCAACCAACATTCTGATCCAGCCAAGCAAACAAACATTGTGAGACGTACCGCGGAAGTGTGGATGAGTGTTTGTTCATCGACCTTTGGCTACCTTGAAAACCAGTGGCAGGTGGCCACATTCGGGTAGTTGCGAACGATTAACGGGGGAAAAAGGAATCACGACGTAATATCGGACATGTCCAATGAACGTTGGATGAAATCTGGAATAACACGAGGAAAGTGATCATGCTCCTTCACCAGAAACTGGTGATTCAATTCATGTATCAATATTTGGACGGTAAAAGAATACTTCTAAAGAGTAATAGATACAGCTACGCGCTGAACTTGGTGCCGACTGCGGAGTACGCTGTGTTAAAATTTTGACTTATGTAACAGTTGTTGGGGCCTACAACACGGAGACCCCGAACTCTCCCGAACTACCGTCTTGGACGACATATTCTTGACAACCACATTTCGCGCTTTTCGCTGTCCTGGACTTGTGGACTAGTCGATGTCACTGCTGGAATTATGATGCACTAGACCCCCCCTGTGAATGCTTCTCAAAGCTAGAAAAATCCAGTGCAACCACAGCACACTCCACCCGCGATTCGAGGATGTACTGAACCTTGTGCTTGGACCGTCTGCAACCCATTTTCAAGCATATATCCTACGGTTTTCAAGAAGACCTCCTGTTTGCATGTGCGTTGTCGACTTGTTATATGTGTATGTGTATATCCTGAATTCTGTAATAGGAAGTCTTTGTACTTCTTGATGATCATTGATGGCTCTGAGCTCCCCAGGTTATCCTGGCCCATCACTCGACTGAGGTCTCCTCATAATATAATTCCATTATACTAGTGCTGTCCTACTCAGGAGTATATGCGAGTTAAAATACCCCGGATTGTTGTTCATGCAACCACGTTCCCCGCCCAGCCCGAGGGCAGTGACTAGTGAAGCGATACATTCCTCCGCTTCGACCTTACGTATCACTTTTCTCCATTGTTGGGCTGAGTGCGTCAGCCTACCAACGAATATTCCGTTATATCTTCTGCCCCGCATGCTGGTTCTGGGGTCTGCCGCCTAGTTCAACCTTGTCCTCGCGGTTTTCTAGAGGGAACCCGTATCCTCGTCGGCACTGAAAAATCACAGCCCCCGGACGCCATGTACCTTTTGGGCGCCATTCCATATCAGTCTATGCTTCCGCCACTTCATCCTCCGAATCTACTGCATGTGCTGTTTTGAGATGTGTGGGCTGCACTGCATTTATTGACCATTTTACCGATTCCTCGAAGCTCATATTTCGTAACATCTCGTGGCTCCGTCAAATCGTTCTATGTGGCGGTGGCTATTGGCGTCCTTTAAATCACGGACTGCTCGGTTTTCCCATCTTGTCTTCAAATCCATCTCTTCTACCCTCATGACCTCTCCTAATTCATTGTGAGATCATAGGCTGTAAATCTGAATACACTCAAAGCGCCACACGATGTATAGCTACCCTCCCCATAGTGATCAGGAGGGCTTCACCGATTTCGGTGGCGCACACGAATTCCCTCTGCAAGCTTATTGGGACGATCAATGGACTGGGGTGCAACAGCCATTGCAACCACAACAATCCGAGGGTCATGGTATGGGGGACGGAATGTTAAGTCTCAACGAAGATCAAGTGCGTTCACCATTCAGTATCAATTGATTTAAACATCTAACTCTCCTAACTCAGACCCTATCCGCCACGGAGTACGAAGGAACTGAACTCGCTGACGATTACATGTACGCTCCCCAACCTCACGCCCCCCAAACGTACACCTCCTTCGCGGGTGGCGTACCGCCGAATGTACCAGTGAGTTACCAGCTGGAAGCGATGTGTACCATCACTGAGGATGATTTCCAGTATCCACAGCATTACTTTCATCAGCTTCCGTTCCACGAGATGGATGATATTGGATATCTATATCAGACCTCATTCGATACCGTGATGTCGGGTCCTGCACTGGAGCACATCAGGAACAATCCTGTAGGACCGCCCTTTTCAGAGCCCCCATCCCACTTGACCACGACGTTGCCCCCCGCCCACAAACGGAGCCCACAAGCCCAATGATGTCAAGCTTAGGAAGCAGTCCACGGTACAGCCCGATGGCAACGTCACATATTAGCGGTCCCTCGACACCAAGTCGATTGAACACAAGCGGTGTGACCGCGCACAGCCACTCCCCAGCAACGCCCCTAAATAGGGCGTCTCAGAGCCCAGGCTTCTACGGCCCGGATTCTATGGCAGGAACAGGCTCCCGGCAATCCCCAATTTCTCCATCGCAAAAACGGCCCTTGGAATCTTCAGCAGATGATGTGCTGGTGTGTAATATCTTGAATTTTTGTAGGAATATTATTAACAATATCATGCAGCATGGACGGAGGGTTGCACCGCGCCACGCCGGTGCCTCTAACGTCCACTCTTCGCCGTCGCCCGGAGGGATTAGTTCAGCTCCCTTGCCAATCTCGTCAAGCGTTCCTGGCCGAGGTCCGACGGTCCCCCAACAATTGTACAATGTAGGGACTACGCACGCTTTTCATTTCACCACCGGAAGTGGAATGCCAGTCGTTTTCAACGTCGTAGAGGGAGCCGGTATCCCTCTGCAACAGTTGCTGCGTCGACAGACAATCCAACTCCAGGCAGGTGATGAACCCATCTTAGACATGTCCGGAGATACAATCTCTATTCGCATTGAGGTAAAGGATCCGTCTTGTTGAAATATTTGCCAAGCGTTACTTACGAAAATTGATGTGATCTATCAGTGGCCTGGCTACCCATCATTTACGAAGCAAATAGCTTCGAAGGATTGGAAGAAAACAAGGTCGCCCAACACACGCCAAAGGTTGGCGATCAAAGTCGCGGACGCCGTTCAATCTTTCTTCAAGGTCAGTCTATTAAGAGCATAATATTCGAAATTTACTCACCCCTTAACAGAAACATGCGAATACTCTATGTGATCCCCCGAATTCAACATGGCGTATCGGTCCTAATGGAATCCGCATCGAGCATCTTGCCCTTGTCTCACTACACCGTGTGTCACAGGGAAGTTGGCAGCCCAAATTGTGTCTCCTCCATGGCGATGCTCAGCAGTGATATATCCCTTCATTTGACATGTATGCCGTTTTACCCTCCGGCTATCTTTGATTGACACATGTCCCTGCAGATGTCATCCAAGCATTTTTATGTTTGCGTCCTGATTTTATATTAGGCATCGAGCATATCATCAACCATATCTTCATCAAGCATTTATTCTCATTTTCTCATTTTCAATCACACAGTCTTCATAGTGGTATCATTCTGTATCATCCGGGCATTGCATTCGGGTGCTTACACACTCGACATCAAATTTTTATCGCATTTTGTGGATCCAGAATGGCATGGTTTTCTTATATATATTTAATTTGCATGGCTCTTTATTGTTCCATAGATTTATCTCAGTCGGCTACTGATGATGTACATATAAATGGTGGCTTAAATGACTCGTCTGAAATTCTGTTGTGCTTGCGTGAGTCGGGAGGTTCCTGGACGGGCTGTCACAAGTTCCCGCCACAGGAGTTTCTACATCAGAAACACCGCGGGGTGGAAACATGTGGGGAAAAGGGTATCTAACAGCTCCGATTGGACTCCGATATTCGATAAGCACTTGATATAACATTTTTCTTAGGTTAAATATACAAAGTAACCGGTGAAGTTCAGGCTTACCATAACTCGTATGCTACAAGATCATATCAGTTCTCCAAGAACGTCGCTGCATCTATATTGACCTTAGATCGCCTCATTCGCCATGGCTCAAACACAACTTGAAGGTGTCCAGCGCATCGGCTCACGCTTTCCCAAACTCACATTCATCCTGGACCGAGGGAAACAGTTCGGACCCCGCGTCGGTAGGCTGTGCTTGACACGACCATCCGATAGCTCATCCAACCACGTCATCGACATCCGGACACCTAGTTTTCTCATCGGAACATCTCGTGGTGCAGTTCTACATTTCTCAAGGGACCATGTTCATTCAGCGAAAGGAATCAGCTGGATCAACGTATCTTTTGAGTCTTTGTGAGTTGTTATTTTACCCTGCCATCTCCCTATGGTGAATAACACTTCGGATCTACGACTTCAAGCCTCGAGCAAACACCCCCAGTACCCACTTATCAGACAGGATCGCAACCACTACATAATTTCTTAGGATTCGACAGCTCAAAACATATCGTTTCGCTTTCACTTCGAGATCCTTTGGATGCTCGAGAGATGCCTCCAAATGGAAATTCGCATGTTTCAGCTTCATGCATGCGTGGTGTGAGGAAGGTGATTATAAAGGTAGAGTCTCCTCTGTCAAAACTTTTCATTTTCATTTTTAGGTCACGCTCGCAGACTGGCGATCTTATGTTTTGACGATGCAGCCTGATATCGCATTTGCTCTCAGTGATACGCCATTTACTGTAGCCCCGCACTCGCAGAAACGCTTGACTAAAAGCATCGAGCGGAGTGCGGCTTGGCTCGCAGATCTGTTGCGCCCTGTTGAAAACATGATGGATGACTCATTCTCGGAGTCAACTTCTGCTGCTTTGAATGTATTCGTACATATGGCTGGTGGTACTTCGACCTCTGCAAGGAGAGCCTTTTCGCACAGCCTCATGGAGACTCTTTATGGGCTGGAAGCAGACGCCGTGAAACCACTGCTATGTTTGGATGAAGGAGTAGCTGGATATGCATTTGACCTAGCGGCTCTTCATGTCAGACCAGCTCCTCTCTCAACCCGCAATGATGGAGACGGAGGTATCGAAATCGCAGAAAACTCTTTGATGCTACAGAACTCAGAATTATTAGCTCAAACGCCAACACCTAATACGGCTGGTACACCTACATCGCTCTCGTCCAGCATGATCGAACCTCTTTCTTTCCTCTCCCTGACCCCTACATTGGATGAGCTCCTTCGCGCATCGTTAGATTCCCTTCCAATCGCAAAACCACGCCTTGTCACGGATGTTCGATCGCCTCATGAAATCCTGTGTTTGATCAGAGATATTGGAGTCGACGTATTCGATGCGGGATGGGCCGTAAAAGCAGCTGATATTGGGGTAGCTCTCGATTTCATCTTTCCAGTGCCTAGCGGGCACGACAGTGGTCCAGACCATTGCAAACGCGACATTGGTCACAACCTGTACGATGCAAAGTATGCTCACGACTTCGTCAGTTTGTCAGACGCCTTCCTCGCTGGCCACAATGGAACATCTTCGTCTAAAACTCCCGTATGTCCCTGCGCTGCATGCTCTCCAGTTGCCCCCACATCTCCTATTTACCATAGCAAAGTTGACGTTCAGTCGCACCAAGCGCAATCAGACGACGGCACGAGCCGCGAACAATTCTTACCTCCTTTCACACGAGCCTACCTGCACCACCTTTTACACACCCATGAGATGTCTGCGCACACACTCCTTGTCGCACATAACGTCGTCATCCTTGATGCCCTGCTTACTGGAGTGCGAACAATTCTTTCGGGTCATGCTGATCAAAATGAAGCAGAAGTCATTTTTGCTCGAGAAGTTACAAGGTTTGAGGAGGTTTATGATGGAGCTATGTCGGTACTCCATACCGCTCGAGACAACTGGAAAGACGTGAAGTACGCACGGGGTAAAGGAAGATTGGCGCGGGAGGCACAGAAAGAGAAGGATGTTCGATTATAATTGGTACATTCAACTCAAGTACAGTAGGTTTCGGTGTAATGATGTCGGGTACATATTCTCGTTATCACGATGCGAACATACCCCTAAGCTTGGTATTGTCAGCAGATAGATTGGATTGTTTCAAGGGCCGTTTCTAGGATGACATAATCAACAGACATGTTCAACCTCGTCCGACATCTGCATTGAAACCTAATCCATTCTGCATGAGCACAATAGGGTACTTCGCGTTTCCTCCTTCAACTCTGGGCACGTCAAGACCATCATACCCCGCATTTATACCCCAGTCCCCCAATACCAAAGAGACATTCGTTGACAAAAGTACGCCTGAGAAACGGGACGAGACGCGTAGCGAGAAACCACCCCATGATGAAGAGCGTATCAATCGACTTCACAAGGAACGGGAGCAAATAGAGATGAGCGAAATAGAGTGGGTTCGAGGCGGCGGAGTTCTGCGCGACGCACAAGGGCGGCGCGATAAAGCCCGTACAGAACGCATTCGCGCAGAGCTCAAGCTACAAGAAGAAGAAAAGATAAAAATGGGTAGATGGAAAGAATACGATGATAGGTGGAAGGCACTGGTCGCGTCAGACAAGGCTCTCGCATTCGCAGATATCCCATGGCCACTTCGGACAGCGCCTTCCTCCAGAGGTACCGATGCTTTCACGTTACCTGCGATTTCAGAGTTTTTGTTCGAGTCTCTTTCTGTCCGGAGCAATACTGTCACGAAGAAGAGTAGGATCCGCAGCTCGATATTGCGGTGGCATCCTGATAAGAGCTCGTTAGTTGTTGGCAGGGCTGTGGCTGATGATGTGGATGCTGTTCGAGAAGGTATTCATGCTGTGTTTTCACTGCCTCAAGCGTCTACAGGAAGATGAAAGAGATAATAATAATGCCGCGTAACGCATATATCCCTTACTAGCATATGTACCGCGAACGAAAGACCTTGAGGCTCATCGTAGTACACACATCATGCATCTAGTCTCAAAGTTACTTGGTAGTCGACTGATATTTTATTTCCATTTACAATATTGGAGCCGGCTGTTGTATACTACCAAAGTTCCCAAACGCATCGTGTCTCTTCGGACCAAGCATCTGACCGTCTACCTGTCAGGCCACATGTGTTTTCAATTATAACAAGATCAACTCGGAGCAAGTACAGCACGGGCTCAGGGTAGCGGTTCTTAGTACCTCAGGCTATCATAGCCGGTTACCTCCTCTGCTCAACCTACCGCAATGCATACACACTTGGAGTTGGAGCTATGATGTTTCAACGTTGCAACTCTGAGATCTAGATCTAGATCTGATCGACGATGGCAAGTCGTTCCAGAACTCAGCACATGTATTTAAGTACGTACTACATGAGGCTTGTGCATGCGCTGTGCTGTACACAGCTGCCTGTTAAGTACTCGAGTCTCAATTAGTACTCCTTCTTCACCTCCCTCCGTTTCATATTCCCTCTGACCCACCCGACCAAAATGCCCTCTTCGCAGGTCAAGGATTTCATCAAGAATTTCAATCTGGACAAAGTATTCGCAGTTCGATTGAGCCGGAGGTGCCCCGCAAAGAACGGACGTACACAACACAGTTCGACAACCACCCACCACGATGGCGAGTACTCCATTCTTGCAGACATCCGCGTCCATACTGAGTTTCCCATTCCTTCACCTACTCTCCATTCGAATTCATCACCACTAGTGCACCTCGATTCTCTGAGCAGGGATCCAGGCCACGAAATCTCTATCAATATCTCCGCCGCCACATCCTCTCGGGGCGATTCCTCTGCCCGTAAAGCTTCTGACATGGCTCAGACATTTTTACCTTTAGTCCAGAGCGTTGCAGGTGCAATTCCACTTGCCGGTCCTCCGATGCAAGCTGCTATTAGTGGATTATTGTCAATCCTTCAAGTCATAGATGTGAGAGCCTATTTTATTACCAGGATATTTCTTCATTCAAAGGCCATCACAGAGACGTAGTCAGAATAAGGCAGACATAGATCGCTTGGCATTACGACTTCATCGACTAAGCTCACATATGTGCAATGCCCCAACCGCCCAGGACCCCTATGAACAACACCGGAGGGATTCTATAATTGGGTATGCGCCATGTTAATGTGTTCTCGAATTTACCCGGCATTGAGTGCGCTTACTAGGATTCTGCAAGAGACCTCTGCCCAGTTGACAAGATTGCAAAAACGTCGTCTCGAATACGCATCCATTACACAAGCTATCGCCGGATGCTCTACTGAAATCAACAATTATCTGTTGGAGTCTCTGGTTGTTTCCTACTCTTTATAATTTGCCAGGATTCACTCACTGCTATGCTTGGCTAGTGGTTGTTCCAAATGCAACAAAGTCAAACCGCGCGGGGACCACCTGTGACGCAGTTGACCGCGGCTGTCACACTCGGCTGTGT